ATTTTAAATTTACACAGTTGTGGATCTATATTTATAATTTGTTTTAGAATTCTTTACATAGATATTTAAAATACATTCTACATTTATTTAGTTAGAATATCTTATCATATCTCTTTTATATAAAAGATATTCATTTTTTTTTTATTTATTTTTTATTTCTATATTTTACTCTGTTTTTACTAACAATTATTTTGGATTTTTTTATTATCTATTATTTTATTTTGTTCTTATTTAGAAACTTTTTGTCAATCTATTATGTATTACTATTTGGTTATTTTTTTCTTTTATTTTTAGTTTACTAATCCTAATATTCGTGATAAAATGATGGGTGGATGAATGAAAAAAATACAAACATCTTTATTTGTCTATATATATATGTGTGTGTATATATATGTATATATATTTAGAATAATTTAATTTAATAGAAAGCATTATCATTCTTCTTATTTATTTTTATTTTATTTTTGTTAGAAACCACATATTTTTCCAACTAATAAGAAGATTTACCATTTTAATTAATTTAATTATTATTCTTGTAATGTTTATTATACTTTTCTAATGAAAGTATTTAAAATAAATTACTCAGAATAATGATTTGAAGTTCAATTCATAAAATATGAATTAATTTGAAGTTAAATACATAAATCAGGGACCATTATTTCTATCTTATACATTACTTTCTGAATTTATTTTTGCCTTTTTTCTCTAATGCATTTTCTTTTAAATCTATTGATTTAAACAATATTTAAAGTAAAACGATATAATTTTTTTTCTATACTGGCTAAGATAGTATAAGAGTCTAATATTGATTTTTCTATTTAAAAATAAACATACCTTAAAAAACTTTTAAACAAACTATATCTTGCAAACTGATTATATTTTAAACAAATAATATTGGTTTTTCATTTTTATTTGATTACCTTTTGAAGAATATTTTGCACATTGGTTTAATTCAGTATAGATAGTTAATTTATTATTTATTTTAGAAATTTTTACCATATTTTATTAATCAAAAATATAGGTATTCTTGTTTTATTTCATAATGTATATTTGATTTAAAAAGATATATATTGTGTACTACATTTTTTTGACTAAGTAACATTTTAAATCGCTTTTTCAAATAGAAAGTTTGAAATTAATAATACAAGTTGCATACTCCCCGCGCAAGCGCGGGGCCGGAATCATTATGTTTTCGTATATTTTTTTCGATTTAGTGGTTTAGTGGATTCTTCTAATGACACCAAATAATAATGAAATGGAAAGAATGTAGTAAGAGTGTAAAGTGAAAATATTGTATATCTAATGTGTTAAATGTTATTAATATGCGAAGTAAGGTTTAAAGGAAAAGTTAGGTTATAATATAATTTTTAGTGTGTAAAAGTAGGTGTCTATTTTTTTTTTGCTGTAAATAGTTTTTATATCGTATGTCAAAACTTGATATAATTCTATATTTATAGTATTTATATTTGTATTAAACGATTTATCAATTTAAAAATAACCTTAATTAAGTTAATATTCGTTGTTTAAGTTTCATTAGATAGGTTTTTATATATGGTTTTTTGTAATTTTGGGTTTTTTTTCATAAATGATGTGGCATTTTTATCTACGGCGTCATCGACTGTGGGAATCCATTCGCCGAAGTCTGGAGTCGGTGGTGAGGAATGTTTTCAATGAAATTATAGTAGTTATTAAAATGTAAGAGAAATTACATATTCATTTAATAAATAACGAAAAATACTTAAATTTTGTTGTTTATTTCATTTTATTTCACATACAAATTTTTTGAAAATATATTAGGAATGAGTTAAATGTTATATGTGAAGTAAGGTTTATAGAAATAGTTAGGCTATAATATAGTTTTAGTGTGTAAAAGTAGGTGTTTTTTTTTGCTGTAAATAGTTTTTATATCGTAGGTCAAAACTTGATATAATTCTATATTTATAGTATTTATATTTGTATTAAACGATTTATCAATTTGAAAATAACCTTAATTAAGTTAACATTCGTTGTTTAAGTTTCATTAGATAGGTTTTTATATATGTTTTTTTGTAAGTTTGAGTTTTGTTCATAAATGATGT